TTCTGTCCAGGAGATGGATATTCCAGCTAGTTTTAAATAGCTTGTCAACCTACTTTACAAAAACCTAGTTAAAACTCTTCTGCAAGTTTTCTTCATCTAAAGTCCTTTATTTTATTTTTAATGGCAGAAATATTTTACCAACATTAGTAGTTTTATAGTAATATTTGATATATATATATATAAAACATCCTACTGATTCAACACAAGGTCATGAACAAGCTAAGTTTTTATTTCAATCATTTGAAAGAGCTAAGTTCATTCTTTCAGTCACCTGTTACATCCATCATAACAGTCAAATATTAAGTGTCAGTTTATCCATATTATAATAGTTGCCTCTAATAGTAGTTTCTTATTAGATAGCAGAACTTTCAATCTAAAATTCTAAGGCAAGCAGAAGCAGACTGCCTGAAAATAGATGTGAATATTGTAAAAGTCTGAAATATTTTCTATAATCACATTCTTTTCAACATCCCTTCTACCTTGTGACATTTTCTTGCTATTACACTCTTATCTAAACACCATTCACAATTATGTATCTTTATATAATTCACTTTTATTTAAGGACAAAGGCCTGTTGATCCATTGAGGTTGTCCTATTCACTAAACTAAAATACTTTAAAAGAAAAAGTTAAAGCAGCCCTTATCAATTAAATATTGATCAAGCCTTCCTTAAAATTTACTACATCCACCACATCTAAAGGCAACCTATTCCAAATGTCAACCACCCTGTTAGAAAAATAAAACCATCTTACCTGAAGATGACTCTTACCATGCCAAAATTTGTAATTTTGAGCCCTTGTTCTACCATTCTCATCATTAGGTATAAAAAGAAGTGATCCATCAACACTACCAATTCCCTTAACAACCTTGAACACTTCAATCTGATCCCCTCTAACTCTTTTAAAAAACAATTTCTTAGATCTTAACCTGTTATCATATAACAATCTATCCAACCCAGGTATCATCCTATTAACCCTCCTTTGAACACTTTCTAACAATTCAATGTCCTTCTTAAGGTAAGAAGCCAAAGACTAAACACAGTACTCCAAATGAAGCCTAACCAATGACCTATAAAATGAAATTATGTGACAAGGGTAACTTAAAGTTATATTATAAATAGTAAACATAGTGAGGAACAAAAGATAGGCGAGAATGATTAAACTAACGATATATACTCTGTGTGTCTGTATATCAATATACAAGATAATTCATAAGTCCACTGAATGTATACTTCAGGTCACTGTCCTATAGGAAATGTAAATCTTGGCCAATAAGTCTAACACCAGAGGGCAATGCTTCACTTTGTAGGATACTCTACTAATTCTCTGTACACATTTTACTTACAATTCTGTAAAGGTTCCCTGGTTTATATATATATCAATAAAAGCTTTAAATTATGATTATTTCACCTCCTTGCTTAACTGTAGGAAATTTCTAGAATATTCTCTTTGTAATTTATTAGATTAGTAATAAAATAAATCAATGGCACCTTGATGAACCTACTGTTTTTCATGTTCGCTGCCACATTATAAATAAAGTCTAAAAAAAATTAAACATTCATGAGGTGCCAAGGAGCAGTCACAGTGTCCCAAACTCATATGCCACAGGAGAAATTTGGCTTTGAAACATAATTGTTTGTGACCCACCAGTGGGGCACATGGCAGCAAAGATGTTAAATGAATATGATTAGATTATAATTGCACTTGTAAGTTTCCAGTTTTACCACATGACAAGCAAATAAATCAGAAATGAAAATGTACGGGAAAATAACTATTAGTGATATGGAATGAGGTTTTGTGAGCCTACCCTGTGACAATATCACTTAGGTCCTCTCCAAGGCCACATCCTTTAGAAATTGTATCAATATGCATAATACACCCAAAATGTCAATGACAAACGTGTAAGAAATAATAAGATTTGACAGCAATAGTAAAGTAACCCAAGCTAAGTAATATTTCTATCAATATCAAGCCCAAACTTTATTACCAAAAACTAAAACCCAGATCTCTTGTGGAATCCAGCTAACTGCTCCCAAAAACAAGACAATTTTCTGTAATATGTGATACTTCTTCTTTCTTTCTAATAGTAAGAACAACATATTTCATTCATACTTGTTTTAGAAAGCTTAACAAAAACCTAATGAAAACAATTATGAATAACTGGATAAATTAAAATCTTTTAGTAAACAATAACATTTCTCGAACTGGTGTATTTAAGTGTTTTACACTCACAAAAAAAACCTATAATTCTATAGGTATTTGAAGAACTTGTAGCATTTTGCCACAATTTAATTCTTCATACATAAAGACAAATTTATCAAACTGTCAAAATTTTCATATTATCAACCAGATAGAAATAACAGAAGTATTTCTCTTTTTCCATATCAAATGCTTAAACAAAAATAAAAATAGCCTTTCTGTATCAACATTAAAACCCACAGTTTTCATAGGTCTCTAAACCAAGCTTTATTGATTGGTTTAAATCATAGGCTAAATCAGTTAGCAAATGTTGTTTGCCCTGATGAAGCCATAATAACAAAAGCATGAATAAAAAAAAACAGTTATGCTTTCTGGAGTAATAGGTCATGTTTTATTTATCTTTTAAACTTGTTTTATTTAAAATTCATGTCACTTGTACTCTTTTAACCCTATTAGTTTAAAATTCAAACAAACTAATTAAAAGTTGTTCATTTGGGAATATATGTTAAGTCTTTATATTTGTCTGCATAACTCAATTTTCTCTACATCCTTACTACTCAAGAAGCTGGCTTGGGTTGAGTTGGAAAATTTTTTAATGGAAGATTTCTTACTTGATTTGTGATCAGGATGTTATGAAAATCACAAAAAGTAATGCTATCAACTGCACAAGTGGTGTTTTACTAAAAAATTATAATTTTTCTACATTAAGATTGATTGAGTTTGAACACAACATTTCAAATGTAAGCTAACAACACTTATATAAAAAATAACCTTTCTATCATTAAAGCAATATCACACAAACATACACACATATTGATCCCAGTATTCCATTATATTTTTTGGTAACTGATAAACATTTATCTTAAAACTTCTTTTTTTTACATAAAAATCTCTCCTACACATGAAATAGTGAACTTTTTGCATGTTTTTATATCCTATGTGCATCATTTTAAAGTTTTTAGCAATGAAACACATCATTCGAGTAAGTTTTAAGTATGAATAAAAACAAGTCAAAGATTTATTGAAAGACCAGACAATTTTCCCAAGAATGGTCTGTCTTAATGATAGAATTAAAATGTTTGAAATATAAACTAAAATATTAGAATTCATAGTTTTAAGCTTTAAAATCCAAGATGAAGACATACTCTTCAACACTTTTAATTTGTACATAATTAACTTCTATAAATGATTTTTTTAATGCCGTGGTGTTTTATTAGTTTGATTTCTTTGAAATTTTTACTGAATAGATACATAGATGTAAGGACTTCTGTTATAATCTGATATTTTAGTAATTTGTTGAGAAATAAGGAATTTAGAATTTATAAAACCATGTCAGCTACACTATATCTAATAAATTCAGTGCCAGCAGAACAGCTCCTTCACTCATCAATTACACTGACTACCTTAGTCCCAATTTCACTACTTTGAATAAAAATATTAGGCCATTTAGACCATAATGGTCACTCTGAAATGCCATAAAGATTACCAATGTACGAGTACCTTTCATATACTTATCATACAAACATTTAACTGAGAATAACAGCACATCCATCAACATACAAAAACATTTCATTAGCTTATAACTCTCAGTAGGTTTTTCATCTATAAACAAACCTAGATATTCTTCAAACAAGAAAACTGCCCAGTCATAAAAACAATGTGCCTTTTACTACCAGTGAAATACACAAGGAAATTTTATGACACCTCAAAATCTAAGCTTACTATGTATACTTATTTGTCACATACATTTATCATACTTTCTAATAGCAAATATAACCAACGCTTATGAGGATGGTCCCATCCAAAAACAAAAGTAGAAACTACATAGAATTATAAAGCTTTACAAGTTAGCATACTAAAAAAAAATACTTCAGTCAATTTAATTACTATTAATTCTTTTGTCAATTCCATTGACATTTTTCTTAATGATTCTTACCCAGTTTTATACTTACCATTATAATCTACATATATGATTGGGAGTAGAATAAAATATTAAATCTAACTTACTTGAAGTTGTTTTTTACCTAGTTATTCTCACTACTTGGCATTAATACTAGTAAGAGTAAGTCTAATTCTAAGTTACTTTGAAGTTAGAATAGACTTATACTGTTATAGAGGTATATACTGTTAATCACTTCATCATGTTATTCTGACAGCTAGCATTTTATTAAAGTAGCAATAAAGTAGGCATATAAAATTAAAATACCAATAAAATAATATTGAGTTTACTTTTCTAATGATAGTACAATATTATCTAATTATCTTTTTTGCACTCTCTAATTTGAATTAAGGCTTAAACAGTACTTAAAATAGTAACACTAATAGTAGTATTAATAAGTATAAATTACTTTGCTAGTACTGTAGTACTACTATTTCTAAGTTCTATAACTTAGTAGTAGTACTGCAGTACTAGCTAATTAACTTAGACTTATTATTACTACTAATACTAATTCTTCTTTTTCTCAAGAGAAAACACTTTCACTTTCAGCGATCTGATAACTCCGACATCCCAGGCACCATTCTGATTTCTAGTAACTCTCCTCTGAACTCTTTCCTTCCTAAGGTAAGGAGCCCAAGACTGAACACAATACTCCTAATGTGGCATAACCAATGACCTATACAAATTACATATACAATGAAATTGAAATTATAACCTATTTAGATTTGTATTCAATATTTCTGTAGAGTAGATACAGCCTAAAATCCTATTTGCCCTACCACTAGTGAAAGACATGTAGAAATTCTGTAAAAAAACGTTTTCATCTCAGATTTCTTTCGAATTAAAGATTCTTTAATTCTTACCTATTTGACAAAGGTCTCAGTCCATAATGATGTTTATTTTTTTGTTTGCGATTTCTGAACAACCGTAACAATAAAGGCGCCATGTTCTATTATCTATAACAGTTGTTATCATGTGACCATGACACCGGCTTCTACACAGCAAAGTTTTGAAATATACCAATAACACGATTGGCTGAAAACCAACCCAAGCTTCTCAACGTAAATATCAGCCTATATTTTGAACTGCAATTTTGAAAATGCTGCAAGATTTTGTATGTAGAATTAATTTTAAAATCAATATTATGTATGTTCAGATCATATTTTTAGAATTATTTTCTATGTTACTAAATTTTTGTGTACACGTTCCACTTTCTAAACAGCATAGGATATGTCCAATTGTGTAATCTTTAACATTAAAATATTAATTTCTTTGCGGTATATTTTCAGGAAAATTAAGAGGTGCATTTTACCAATACATAAGACTCATTTATGACTGTTTTGAATAGTTTATCTAAATAAAACACCGTTAAAAATCAAAATTAATTAAAAATTTTATGTACTTTTAACATCTTTTCTTCTTTTATCAGCGCAAGTATCAAACGTTCAGTAAAATTGACTATGGTATGTCTTGAACTTATTTTCGTGCTGGTCATACATTGTTCTAGATCATTTCTTTTTTGTTGTTAATGAACTTTCCTATCAAAGATGTTGCTGAAGAACCCTGTAATCTTGTGCTATAAGTATCTCTGGTAACATCTGTTGTGTAAAAGTTTAGTAATACCTGAATGATGTGTACTTTCTATTTATGCTTATGATAAATCAAGTGACGTTGGTGGCAGGTTCATCCTGGAAGAACTGATCCCACTGTAAGAAATATAGAACTGACCTTACTGTAAGAAGTATATAATACTTAGTTTTCTCAATCTAGGTCAGAAATTTCTTCTGACATAGAATACTCATTAGTTGAGAATAAGTTCTGTCTTGAGTCTTTGTGCATTTGTCTCGTCTGTCTTTTATATTGTTACGTCTCCGTTTGTTAATTAACTTTCCGTAACTTCGTTCCGACGAAACTTAAGAAAACCAGTTTTATTAAGTAAAGAACTTGTGTCGCTAAAGTTTCGTCGGAACGAAGTTACGGAAAGTTAATTAACAAACGGAGACGTAACAAATTGGTGTCAGAAGTGGGATAGAAAAAAAAAGAAGAATTCTTTCCGAATACAACTTTACCGATACACTTATTCTCAATACTCGCGCTAAAACAACACTGTAACGAACGAACGTTATCTTCAACAATACCGTGTGACTGCAGTTCAATTACTCACTATCTATCTACCCACCTCACATTCCCCTCCTTTATATATACCAGCCCACCCTACATCGAGCAATTACTAGACCATTCGCCAAGATACGGGATAGTTCTAGAAACAAGAGAGCGTGAGAATTGTCACGTGATCTCGATGACGCAACACAGTTTTATTTAAGAAAGGGATGGTGTTGCGAATGTGACGTCGGAACGAAGTTACGGAAAGTTAATTAACAAACGGAGATGTAACAAATTGGTCTCAGAAGTGGGATAAAAAAAGAAGAAGAAAAAGAAAAAGAGAAGATGGAAACGAGAAGCGGCAAATCAAACTACAGC